TATATATATATATATATATATATATATATACATATATATATATATATATATATATATATATATATATATATACATATATATATATATATATATATATATATATATATATATATATTATATATATATATATATATATATATATATATATATATATATATACATATATACATATATATATATATATATACATATATACATATATATATATATATATATATATATATATATATACATATATACATATATATATATATATATACATATATACATATATATATATATATATATATATATATATATATATATATATATATATATATATATATATATATATATATATATATATATATATATATATATATATATACATATATATATATATATATATATATATATATATATATATATATATATATATATATACATATATATATATATATATATATATATATATATATATATATATATATATACATACATATATATATATATATATATATATATATATATATATATATATATATATATATATATATATATATATATATATATATATATATATATATATATATATATATATATATATATATATATATATATATATATATATATATATATATATATATATATATATATATATATATATATATATATATATACATACATATATATATATATATATATATATATATATATATGTATATATATATACATACATATATATATATATATGTATATATATATATATATATATATATATATACATATATATCTATGTATATATATATATATATATATATATATATATATATATATATATATATATATATATATATATATATATACATATACATATGTATATATATATATATACATATGTATATATACATATATATATATATATATATATATATATATACATATATATATATATATATATATATATATATATATATATATATATATATACAACCATTAGGTAAGTTATATGAGAATATGAGAATGAATAACAACCATTAGATTTAAAAGAAAATGTTGAGATTAAATTATATCTTTCACTAAATCATGTGCTACAAATTTAAGAAATCAGACGCTTTTAAGAGGAGAAAAAAAAACTAATAATCAATTATAAAAATATATTTTAATTCAATGATCTTGATTCACTATCTTATATATAGGGGCGACACCCTTGGATTTTTGAAGATTAAACAGATACTTATAATTTTTCTACTATATTTATGCTTGAACCCCCTGAATATTTATGTTTGCACCCAAAGAAAAAAATGTCAGATTCTTTCATTTTATAGCCTAAGCTAGAAAATTTTACCCATATAACCACCTTTTACCCTTATATTTTTCAAAATAACCAACATTCTAAACAATTTTCCAAAATACCCTACTTCAAAAAAAAAGCATGCGTTGAAGGGAGGTGTCATTGGGTTTGGCGACACCCTTATGTTTAAAGAGGGGGGCCGTTTGTGTTGGAGTCACCCTTATGAATTAGGAGGGGGCGCCATTCCGTTTGGAGTCACCCTTAATTGATGATTTTTTTTAATAATATTTAATATATAATATATTAAATAATAATTAACAATTTCATTTAATAACAAATGAGTACATAGGGGAATATGGTACATTAATTTCTACGACTAGGCCGAGGGAAATATCCGCCTGTACCGCATCCTCGAGTACGTACGTTTCTTGGTGGTCTTTGTGGTGGCGTCGGGTCCAATGGGTCGTTTTTAAGAAATTGGATCATTTAGCCCCATGAAGTTGAGTCGATCTCCGCAAAGTCATCCAGATTAATGGGGTTTCCCATGCCTTCTTAATTTTGTTGGGGTGGTTAGCTCGATGAGGCTATGTCAAGATGATAGCCTTCTTGGTCATAAGGTGACGTCGGTGTAAATGTTTAGGTGGGTAAGGGTTGATTGGATGTTTGATACTCCATGTTAAATTGGTTTGTAGTATATAGGAGTATGTTTGGTATGGTGGTGGATGTTGTTGGTATTGAGATTGGGAATAACATTGCGTGAATGGGGTGGGTTGGTAAGGGGTATGTTCATGGAGTTGTGGTTGTGTGAGTGAGGGTTGGGTTGGCTGTTAGAAATTAAGTTGGGTCGGTTGTTGGGTTTTTGGTGATGAGGCTTGTTGGCGTGGGTCAACCAGATATCTAGGATGAAAATGAAACCAATGGTAATTGACATATACCAATTCATTGGATAGACGACTTTCTCTTGTATGACAACACAATGTCAAACAAAACAGAATGGTGTTGATACTTTCATTCACGACACTCATGTTTTGCAAAGTTGGTCCATGGAGAATAGTCACATTGGTCGGACACTTTACTTGTGTGATATTTCTTGGGGATGCATTTTGGTGGACATGGAATATCTTGTAGCATTCTAAACTGAAGCTTAACACGATCAAAGTTGTGCATTTCCATAGTGGTAAAGTTGATAATCGACACCTTTGCACTCCACACAGCAGAGTCGTGTTCGTTAACTTCATGAATGGCTTCTAGACCAAGATATGACTGCCAAATAAACTGTAGGAGAAAAAAATAATATTTAGTATTTTGAAATAATATTTAATATGACTCTATTCTAAATAGGTAGGTCAGTGATGGTACATCATCATGACCCAAATGATCTAGAAGATTTTGGTATTGGGTAATAATGTAATGGGAACAGTTGTCATAATTCATCCCAAGTGCAGACCACCTACAAATCAAAAAGGAAACATTTGTTAATAATAGGATAAATTAAATAAGAGAATATGAAATTTTCAAATAATTGGTCTAAGAAATTATCTTGTAGCGTATGGAAATCTGAAATTAGTATGTTGGATAGGCGCTAGATTGGTCATCTTGACCAACCCCAAGCTTGAAGAAGAACACCACATCCGATAAAATTACCCAAATTTGATGTTGCATTGTTACACAAAGACTGATATAGGTGTGATAGTGTGGTGGACGCCCAACTATATGTTTTTATTTTATCTATGTCATCTAATAAAACTAAATACATAGGATGAACAACATTACCACTTGCATCCGGACATTAAAAAAAACCTATTAGTAGCATAAAATAAATTCTAGTTTTTCTGATTTTCAATATTTCTGGAGAGTATACCGTTAACGTTATTTCTCTATAAAATTTTTTGAGCCATGATAATAATAGTTTTTGACCCCTCAAATCGCTTGGGGTCGTTTCGACCCTTAAAAGTTCTTTTGTCATACTACGACGAGGATTGGTGAGACCGTTTACCACTTTACCATTAATAGGTAAACCCAATAACATGTAAGTGTTTTCGAGAGTAACATCACATTCACCTGTTGAAAGATGAAATGTATGTGTCTCGGGTCGCCACCTTTCTTGAAGCATTAAACTGAACTTTGTATCCACAAAATAATTTTGGATTTTGATTAGTTCTCCAAATCCTGCGCGCTCCAAATATGGTTGAATTATCCCGTCATGTAGGAAATATTTATGCCCACGAGTTCAAAAGTCATGATTATTCTAACAAAAAAGAAATAGTGAGCTACAAATCATTACAACAATGTGATTATAACAAAAATAGTGAGCTACAAATACTTACATAAGAAGCAATGTTGTTTGGTGTTCCTCTATGCTTCTCTCCCAATGTTAACAGAGACATTTTTCTACTGAATATATAGTGTGATTATAAGAAAAAAATATTGGTTGGATAGAATTAATGATTTTGACAATGAAGTCTCCTATGTTTTTATAGTAAAAAATTGAATTTGTGGTAGATAGAAAAAATAAATTGTTAAAGATGATATATTGATTGCCATGCAGAAAAATAAATGAGGTAGATGAAATTGTAGAGAATTGTCACACTTGGCATATTGCATGCATGTAAGATTCCATTTTTGTACATATTAATAGGGAGACTCCAAACCAAACGGCGCCCCTGTTGTATTTTAAATGCTAACTCCATTTGAAATGACGCCACATTTGTAATTTGTGAAAAGCGGCTCCAAACCAAATGGCGTCTCCCTTGTAATTTAATGAAAGGGCTCCAAACCAAATGGTGCCTCTCTTGTAAGCTTTAATATTATTTTATTCTGGTACATTTATTATATGTATCAGTACACATTGAAAAGCGTAAATATCATCTAAACTAAATTTCATTACATGTAAATATGTCTAGAACACCAAATTATATTGTACACGCTCATTTTAATGGAGACACATACTTCTCTGAAAGTTCCGGTTTTGGGTTTCAAAATATTGATGTTACCCGATTAACAATGAGTAGAAAATCATTTTTTTTTGCATTTCAAAGAGCGAATAAAGTCAAATATTTTGTCTGGTCCAATCTCTCAAATCATATATAGAAGTCTCGTTTTCTTTAAAACAGGCAGGTCAAGCATTTTCAACAGAATATACAACACGATAACGATGTTCAACACATGTTTGATAGTCATGAACACTTTGGGTTCGACTATATCGAGTTGTATCTATTACTCTGTCAGACTCAACAATCCCAAATGTTTGGTGAATCTCAGTTAATAGATTAGTCACAGTCATTGGAACAAGATGAAGTTGATGTAGTTGACGAGGATGAAGAAGAACCTGAGGCCATCGTTGATCAAATGATAAATTTGTTTGGGATTGGGGACTACACCACAATCACTCCACTTGAAGACATAGATGAAGAGGCGTTACCATTAAGTCATATCTATTGTCCTCCTTAACACATGACTAATTTGCAATTGAGTGGAGACGAGCCATCATCAGATTTGTTCTACAATCCTTCTCAACAAATCGAAGGTGTCTTGAAAGTAGGGAACCAGTACCGCAAAAAAGCAGAGTGCACGAAAGCTATAATAAAATTTTACATGGATAACTTTGTTGATTTTGAAGTAAGCCGCAATTACTCAAAACGATATGTCGTAGTGTGTCATAACGAACTTTGCAAGTTTCGGTTAGCCGTCCTATCGGAAGAGAAGTGATTGTTAGGAGATAGGTTCGATGGATCCACCTCATAGTTACACAACCAACATCAATCGGCAAGATCATCGTAAACTAAGCTCACAATTAATATGCCAAGAGATTTTTCATCTTGTGGGCGTAGATCCATTTGTGAAGGTGAGCAAAATTATCTCCCATGTCGTTGCACAATTCAATTATACCCTATCATACAGGAAAGCTTGGATTGCAAGAATTAAAGCGGTTGAGCATGTATATGGGAATTGGGAAAAATCTTACAATCAACTTCCACATTATTTGCTAGCACTTCAAAAATATGTTTTTAGTACGATTGTAATATTGGAGAAACTTCCAACATACACTCTTGATGGAACATGTGTTGATGGAAGTAAGATATTATCTCGTCTCTTTTGGGCATTTCCATCGTGTATCAAAGGTTTTGCATTCTACAAACCTGTTATTCAAGTCAATGGAACATGGTTGTATGTCAAATACAAAGGAACATTGTTGATGGCGGTTGCACAAGACGGAAATTATAATATATTTTCTATTGCCTTTGCTCTGGTCGAAGGTGAGACATGTGAATCTTGGAGTTTCTTCCTTAGAAATCTCAGAACACATGTCACCCTGCAACCCAACTTATGTCTGATTTTCGACATACATGCCTCTATTGTGAGCGCTTACAATAATCCTGCTAATGGTTGGCACAATCCTTCTTCTGTCCATGTCTACTGCATAAGACACATTGCTCATAATTTTATGCGGGTAATCAAAGACAGAAATCTCCGTAAAAAAGTTGTGAATGTTGGATATGCCTTAAGCCAACCGTCGTTCATGTATTACCACGAAGAAGTAAGATTGTCAAACGCAGAAGCATTAAGCTGGGTGAATAGAATTCCAGTGGAGAAATGGACAAGGGCTTTTGATGGAGGATGTCGATGGGGTCACATGACCACAAACCTTGTGGAATCCCTAAACGACATATTTAAGGGAACTAGAAACCTCCCCATCACTGCGTTGGTAAGAGCAACCTATTATAGGTTGGGGTCACTTTTTGCGGTAAGAGGCAAAAAAATGGAGCGTTGTTTGGGAATCAGAGCAATTATTCGGCGAAACATGTATGAAATATATGAAGGAGGAAACTGTTAAGGCGACCTCACATTGAGTTAGAGCATTTGACCGTCAAGATTACAACTTCATTGTTGACGAGACAAAGGATCACAATGAGGGTCGGCCAATGAGATACTACAGGGTGGAAATTCATAAAAATTGGTGCGAGTGTGGAAAGTTTCAAACCTTCTATATGCCTTGTTCACATGTCATTGCCGCATGTTCTAGTGTTCGTCAGGATCCATTCTTGCAACTATCAGAAGTTTACAAGGTCTTGAACTTATTCGGTATTTACAATAACAACTTTCCAGTGGTAGCTAGTGAGGACTATTGGCCAACCTATCATGGGGACACAATTTACCACAACGAAAACATGAGAAGAAACAAAAAGGGCCGCCCCAAAAGCATGCGAATTAGAACTGAAATGGATACAACTGAGAAAATAGAAAGATTGCGTGGAATATATCGTCTTCCCAGGTATATGAGGAAACGTTGTCTAAATGTTGAAACAAGTTCTAGATAGATTTACTTTTGTCATTAAAAAATGTGTAACCTTGGAATTTAATATTTATAATAGCTTTGTTTACAACAAAACAAATTTAAATACTTCTAAAGCAACAACTCAAATCATTTAAAATATAAGGATTAATACAACGTAAACTAAGATATAACAACAATCAAAGTAATATCATCAGTTCCAAACATCATAGATCTAACGTTGCTGTCATCTTTAATTCGCACCCACGCACGCCATGTATTGCCATCTGCAATCGAGAAGTACAAAACAAGTCTTTCAATACTTCTAATTCTTTCACCATCTGGAATGTCTCCTTTTAACCAGCGATTCAAATTCTCTCGTAGTTGCTTTAAACTTTGGATGTTCGAAAACAACATCCTTATCGGAGGCTTGGTTCTTGAGAAAATGACATGCTTATGTCTTCTAAGACATATGATTCACTCTGTTAAATTTGTAAGAAACAATGACAATTTAAGTGTGAAAGAATATACAAGTCATGACATCTATTTATACAAGAAAATTTTTAAATAAAATTATAATAAATATTATAATATTATATAATATATGAATTACTAAAAATTATTTAAATTATCACAAAATAAGGGGGCTCCAAAGCAAATGGTGTCTCCTCCTAATTACATAAGGGTGATTCCAAATGGAATGACGTCCCCTCCTAATTCATAAGGGTGACTTCAACATAAACGGCGCTCCTTCTTTAAACATAAGGGTGTCGCCAAACTCAATAGCGCCTCCATTGAACGCATGTATTTTTTTTTTGAAAATAGGATATTTTAAAAAATTGTTTAGAATGTTAGTTATTTTGAAAAATATAAGAGTAAAAAGTGGTTATATGAGTAAAATTTTCCCTAAGCTAGCTGCCCTTGTCTTTTCATTATACTAGTACGCTATTACTTTATCATTTATTTCTCATTATTACTAACACTTTACCACTTTTCCAAGAAATAATTCAATTAAGAATGTACAAAACATAATACACCATGGATTGACCCATTATTTTGTTTCTGATAGACCTCTTAACCACAAAGAGAAAGCTTTTTACTAATATAAATATAAATTTAATATTTATAACAAAATACTTTCATTTTTAACTTAAACTTATTTTTCTATCTATGATTTTTTTTTATTCATAATCAAAATTATATAAAATAACACACAAACATGCAACAAAATGCGACGTTATTTTTTTAAATGACAAAATTAATCATTTAAAAAATTACATTTATTGTCATAGATGACATATTTAGTATGCATGAAGATTTGCACTTTTTATAAAAGCTCAACTATTTTTAATATTAGAAAAACAAAAATGTCAGATGAATTATATATATATATATATATATATATATATATATATATATATATATATATATATATATATATATATATATATATATATATATATATATATATATATATATATATATATATATATATATATATATATATATATATATATATATATATATAATTCATTCAACAATTGATTTTTTTGATTGTATATGGAACAGCTACATCCATTAGCAAATGAACCCAAAAAAAAATCAAATTTGCTTTATATATAGGTTTAAATGCATTTTTATCCTTTTATTTATATACTTTTAATCTTTTAGTTTTTTTTTTTAAAATTCATCTTTTTGATCTTCAATTTATATTTTTTGGGATTTTTGTAGTCCCCTTTAATTTTGCATATGTGCCGCTAATTAGGATAAATTATTTATTTTTAATGAGATGATATTGTGGATTGGGATAAAAAATTTAAGAAAAATAGTACCCCTTATTTTTAATGATATTATAAATATCATACTAAAAAAATAAAAATAAAAATAAAATTTAATTAGTCTTTTTTTTTTAGAATAAGTATAATTTTAATATTTTTTACATAAATTTTAATTATTAATTTTCATATAGTTTTTTAAATTAAGATATTAATTAAAGATTATGGGCTTATGGTCCATGTACTTGCTATATGTTTTCAATTTGGAAGCCCATGTATACGTTTGCTTTATAAAAACTAAAAGTTGGTTGTATAGAATACGGCATGGGACTTCTTACTCAACCAGTCCTAGTAAAATTGATTTCAGATGATGCCTAAAACACAAGGTCAGAGGCTCAACGTTTGACCCTTACACCAAAATATTAACATATGGTTCTTATCGTGTATTCGATAAATCAGTATTCAAAATGTTTTATGCAAAGGATTTCATAGTTACCGCTGTTTTCTTGCACCAGCACTTATGTCCAAGTGATTCATAATCCGGTTTCTTTTACCCCAATGCTCCATTTTGAAATCAATAATAACAATATATTTCATTTTGAAAAAAATAACAGAGATGTCCTACATAAAGTACCTGTTCATCCACTGAAGTGGCGAACAAATGAAGGGATCATGGACTACGTAGGTGGACGAGCATGTGAAAGATTTTTTTTTTAATTTTAATTTTATTTATTTAATCAAATCTTTAATAATTTTAATAATAAAAATCATATTATAAAATATATTATTAATTTTAATTATATTTAATTATATTACTTTTATTTTTATTATATTTAATTATATTACTTTTAATTTAATTATATATTATGTTATATTAAATTAATTTAATTATATTATGTTATATTAAATGGAAAAATAATGTGAGTGATATATTAATATAATTTTTCTTTCTGTCATGTATTAAAAAAGAATGACTGATGTTCGTCCATGGAGGTGTGAAGTTTTTACAGAGTCTCGGTCATTGAATGATCGAGTTCAAACGTAACTTTTTTTTTTTATATAAATAGATGTATTGCGCATCAGCACATATCATTCGTGTCCACTGACCCGTGTTTCAAAAATGTTTGTCCGAGCTCTTATTTTTTATGGACAAGAAAAAAAATCAGTGTTTACCTAGATTCGCAGTGGAATTTCAGAACCGTGGTTGCAGCAATTAACATGGTGTTTCGGCAGTTGGGTGGTCGTCGCATGACGGTGAGAAAAACGGAGTATCGTTGTCCATATATAACGCTGACTGATGCTAACCCGGAGGGTACATACATGTATTACTTTGATCGTATAGAAAATGATGAAGATGTCCATTACTTGTTTTCAGCACATAGTGGCGAAGTTAACAGAGGAGTCACATATCCACTTGTGTTGGTTGCTGTTGTTGGTTAGCGTGTATATTAGCTTCCTGAGTTTTATTTTTAACTTTATGGTTGTAATTTGCTAGTATTGTTGTAATTTGAAAGTTGTCTTGAATTAAAAATAAATGTTGGATCACATACAAAACTAGTGCGAGCAAAATATATAAAATTATCTAGGCGGTCGGTTTGACGGGCCGACAACATTAGGACATTTTCTACGCATATGACCTAATGCAGTAGACATGTGAAGATGGTGGATGTTGCCATCCGTTTTCGGGATTGTTATATGCATTCTTTATCGATTCATGTCTATTAGAGATTAGGCACAAATTAGGTTGTGGTGTCACGTGTAATCTCAGGTTCTTTAGAAAAAAGCTTCATGCTTCCTTTGTTTCACCTTCGACCAATGTGAATGCTATTGGGTAAATATTTGCGTTACCATCTTGTGCCACCACCATCAATAGAGTTCCTCTGTACTTGCCATACAACCAAGTTTCGTCTACTTACACAATAGGCTTAGAGTAGGCGAAGCCACGTATACACGGATGAAATGCCCAAAACAGTCGATGGAATATTCGTTTTCTAGAGATTTAGGAACCATAATTTGAAATTGCAGGTAGGGTTTGCAAATCTATAACAGTTTCTGGAAGGAAGGTTTTCATTACCAGTATCCACTGTTGCAGGTCATTGTAAGATGTTTCCCAATTGCCATATAACACTCTATGGCCTTACACTTAGCGATCCATGCTTTCCTGTAAGATATTATGTACTTGTATTTTTCAAGAATATGGGCAATGATCACATTCACCTTAAGTGAGGCGTCTCGATTGACAAGTTCCCTGATGCTATGGCTAATCATTTTTGAATTGAGATTTCTATGGTCTTGTGCCATAGACGTGGCAGTGCATGTGTGAGGCCCAAACAACTTACCGATCACCCATTTTGAGTTCCTTTTTCTCAAGGAAGCTCTGCACTTGAAATTGCAGTCTTATTTCTTACACTTAATTACATAACGTTCATTGTCAGATTGATAAACCCAATAGTCAACACTGTGTGTTATGTGCCAATGTTGCAGAGTGAAGACGCAAGCTTCCTTGTTTTTAAACTATATCCCAATATCTATTTCTTCACCTATATGGTTTGGTATGACACTTCCAAACACAGAGGTTGTCTCATCATGTTCGAAACATATATTTTGCATATGTGCAGGTGGGTTGTACAAACTTATTGGTTGTGTACGAATCGGCTGCGTAGATGCGACAACTATATCTTCATTGTCTTCGTCAATACTGTCACCAAAAATACCTTGCATCCTGACCTCCTGAAGATCGTCATCGCTTGCTTCTCCAACCTCTTCATTTGGTATGAAAGGTCGTTT